TGTGGATAATGATATTTATTTAATTATGCAACTCCACTAGATCAATTAAGTCACGATTCCTATGATGCACGCCCACACGCCTGTCACCTAACATGTGCGTCATTTTCAAACAATTCTACAACACGTAATTCAGGGATTCATACCCTCAAAACCAAGTTTAGAAGTGTTACTTATCTCAAACAAGCCAAATCCAATACCGAGCAAGCTGTACAATACTCCAAAAATTCCATTTCGCGCGTATCAACCTCTGAACGGCTCAAATCCCAATGATTTCCTTGAAAACCCCTCGATAATAAGATCGCCACAAATCAAGCTTTCTTAATTCAACTCTTTAGTGATATTAAAACCTCCAACTACTCTTACAGATCTACATCAACATAATTCGATTGGACCAATATTAGTAAAATTTCCAAGTTTTAGGTCATTTAGGCATTTTATCAAACACCTAGTAGGCGTGAATTTCTACATATCTTAATCATAAAATTAATTCATCCAACTACTACCATTTACCAATAATTTATCCCACCATCATTCTTAAATAATTCATAACTTCCAACATCATATACATGAATCCACACCCAACCAACAAAATTTCATCAAATAATTACCTTTCAATCTCTACAATGGTTATGTATTTAAATTGGGAACATATGGCTTCCAATCACCATACAATAAGTTCTAATACTTAATTCATACTCATATTCCCATAATATATTCATACATATAAGTCTAAGGGTATAGGATTACCTTTTGAAAGGAATCTTGCAAAACCCTCCTTTGAGTTCTTGAAGAAATGTCTTGAAGATTTAAGTATTTTATTTGTAGATTTCATCAATACTGGTGTAAAATAATGGAATTTCACACCAAGATAATGGGGATTACATACCTTGAAGAAAAGGAGAGTTGGTGGTCTTGAGAGAGTGGAGAAGAGCTCCAAAATTCGTCCAAATGAAATGGGAAAAATGAGCCTCGAATTGGCTTTAAAAGAGCTGGAGCTGATCCCGCGCCCGGTCTGGCGAAGTGACCCTCACTTCGCTGTCCGCCAGAATAACTAGGCGATCAAACTTTGGTAATTTGATCATAACTTTTAGTAGGAATGTCCAAATGACAAACGACTTGATGCGTTAGAAACTAGATTCAAAGGACTACACTATAGGTACAAAATTCATGAAAAGTATCTTCACATTATGAGAGTTATACCCGTCCAAATGTAGATGTTGTGCAAATTAAGACACCCTTTCCACTTAATATTTCCAACTTTCGCCAATTAGTATTGAAACCTTCTAGACCTATCCAAATGCAAATCCGGTAAATGCTCAAGTCCAAAATCACCATCCGGTCCTAACATAACCATAAACATTCAGACCCGAGGTCGAATACTAAAAAGTAAAATTTGGTCAACTCTTTCAACTTAAGGCTTCCAACATAGAATTTATTCTTCCGAAATACCTGAAAACAAAACCGATGATTCATACACGTCATAATACATCATATGAAACTATTCAAGATTCAAATAGTTGGAAGGAGCGTAAACTAACCTATTATGATTCTGAACAAACACACTATATGAGTCTGAATGCACAGTATCAAGCCATAACCATAACCCCGGATATAATCACGTAACATACTACACAACTCACAAACTCGCAACACCATTTCCGATCACAGTAACTACTCTAAACTAACCCAGTACTAGTATTAGACGCCATATCTAGCCAAACCTCGTTCCAAAACCTTCGTACACTGCTGATATTAAAAGAAACACTCAGAATCTCATAACCACTTATTAGATCAACAAGTCATGGAGCTTTCTTGCCCAAACCCGAACCATAATCACTTTTTAAGCCGTCTTTCGATGTCATCCTCCCAAATATATCATAATCAAATCCAATAGTACATATTTTAGGCCCAATGACTTCATATTATTAAATACAATTATCCTACAGACATGCCACACCAATATAACTTAAACCACAACTGCGCAATCCGTGTACCCAAAAATAGAAAATATCTCAAAGAAGAGAACTGTATTGGGAGTTCAACAAGCACCACAACAACTGCAATGCTATAAGCTCATTATATATAGTAGAACCAAGACACACAAATTTAATAACAGTAACCAGCTCTTCTAGAGCTCACATTAACATCACTCGCACGTACAACTCACGTGTTAGTGTATCAATATCTGGACCCACACGGACAACTCACGTACCGATAATATCAATATCTGGACCCGTACGGACAACTCACGTGCCAATAATATAAATATCTGGACCCGCACGGACAACTCATTTACCAATAACATAATCCACCTGGCATGGTCACAGGCCTCCAGTCCAAGCATATCATACAGGAACAATCAAATAAGTATACATGTATATGATAAATGAAATAAGATTCACATGCTCCTGGACTGATATAAATAACACGCCATAGGGTAGGCATGTGCAAAGTGTACTATCACAACTCAAATCGGTAAGTTAACGCAGAATTAGTAACTACCCGATTTATTCAGGGAATCAGCCTATTTGTAACCTCAAGTATAGCCCAGATAGTTCTCAACAAAGGTACGAATACGAAAAATATTATAACTTTACGCTTAACAGTCAACTCTAGGCATATCATAGACTAAGCATTCTTCCGAGTATGAATACTTGATTTGATGCCCGCACATGGGCTCAAACCTCACATATATGCACACTCATAGCGCATAGCTATCACAAATAATTAGCGCAACTAGTGCCTCCACTGAGTTTAAATAAAGCACTCACCTCAAACATGCTGCAACCCTGAAACAATATGCTTCGGAGAACTCCTAGTCTCCAAATTCATAGAACACATGAACCACCGTGATTGATCCCAACTCCAGCACTCGAATGACTAACACATCTTTCATACACGATCATCCCACAAGGAATACTTCCATAATTCTTCTGTGCCACATAGCAATAATTTGAATATCAGCAGTCTATCAACCAGGTAAGTACCGCAATACCAATGAACATCTGTAAGCCAAAACACAATGCACCTTTTGAAATGTGCACCCTTCTCAGGGATTACCGAGCAGTTATAACATTCATCTAAATATCTGAAACTCATCATTCTATCCAAAATTCGTGATCTTCCTTTCAAGAATGAACTGCCACCTTGTACATATAAATCTAAATCCCGCACAATATACCACATCTATCATATGAAAAGTACGAGAATCTCATTATAAACTCTGAGTCACCAGCAAATTACATACCCTATTAGTTAGAAATCTTTCTCTTGCTTCTTTCCAGGAAGAAATCATAATACACAGCATGTTCCCCATACCGATAAAAAAAATCATGCTCAAACCATGGTAGAAACCATCAAGAATACTTTGAAATCCATTTGCACATAACCAAGCTATCAAAAGTGAATTCCTCTAACTCGACCAAACAACACAGGTTGCCAAATCCAAGAGTATTGCCACAAAATACACGTAAAGCCCCACCTCATCATAATAACCAAAAGAATCGATCATATCATTACCATACTGATCCAGCATGTTACCTATTTGTCCTATTTTCTCCGAGTTTCTTCTGAATTACCCACAAGTTGACATTACTCCTTGTCAGAACACTACTATCCTTACCTAAAGCTCACTACAAGACATAACATAAAACCACACCGCCCTAAGGCCCATAAGCTACTGTATTCTTCTTAAGCACCCCCATAAGTACCGCAACTGAAACGTCCACTCTGAAAATACCTTATGTGAATTTAAAATTGTTCTTTTACCTTTCTTATACTTGAATATAGAATCCATAGTTATATAGAATTACCGCAAGTCACGACACCATCAAATGTAAATCTCAGATTCTATCCATACACAAATCCGGAAAAAATTCTTGATTGCTATATATAAATCTCGAACCCATTGGAATCTTCTAGAGAGTAATCCACTCTGCTCAAATCTAAATTGCACCGCCTAAACAGGCTGAAATACACGTGCTCTCTTAGATTCACAACACTCAAAGAGACTACAAGAAAAATGGCTTTTAGTGAAAGGGAATCCAGTCGTTAAAAGTTCAAATCCAGTCGCTATAAGTCAATAACGATCGAACAAAATTTGGTCATCGCCGGTCGTTAAAGGCTCCGTCGTTAAAAATTAGCGACCGGATTAGAATCCGGTCGTTAAATTCCGTTAACGACCAAAAAACTTCTCGTCGTTATTCCTATTTAGCGACCGGTGTTCCCTTCGCAAATTGTAAAATTTTCCTTCGCTAATGCACATGTAACCATTTGATAGTCATGTTGTTAAAGAGTTTTAAAGACCACATTTCCCTTCGCTGATGTGAAATTTTAATAAATATAATTACACCAATTTATATTTTTTCCTGTAGTTATCCAATAATAATTATTAGCACATGCTTTCTCACACACATATATACAACAATCACACATCTAAAAATATACCAAATAATCAAAATTCATACTCTATAGAATTTTATTATCATTACAAAGAACGGAAGGATCATACTGTCTATAAATATACCCATCCAAATTGCATGACACTATTTTTATCAACTCCTAAAAGTAGACAATTGAACTATAGCACGATGTACAAATGATAACATCTTTAAACCACTGCTAACAAAACAAAAATCCTATAATGCTTCAATTTGCCCTGCACATTCTTCAAGGATAGGTTCTTCAAACTTCAAGTTCTTGATCTTGATCCGTTAAAAGAAGAAGTCATTGTCACATTAGTGAAAACACTCCTACTAGCTACTTTATTTAGAAAACAAATGAATAATTTAATCACCAAATCAACTAAACAATTGGAGTAAATATTGTTTGATTAAACTGATGCAGCCAATGATTAGTTTTAAGAAGTTTATCTTTTATGTTCGAGTACTAGATAGAGATGCCCGTGCAATTGCATAGGCCGAACATGCTAAATATTTACCACTGTTTTCTTTCATGCTAATATTGTGTAATGCTGGGGCTAGTAGAAATAATGCTCCCTATTGAAATCGAAATAAGTAACCACAAGGAAAAGAGCATTATGTACAAGATGGACACAGCATGGCACTTTTTAGTAAAATATTATGTGCAAATGAGGACAAAAGTACACTTAGATCTCGAGTACTAAAGTTCAACCATAACCAAATTCATTGACTGGGCTTTGGTAGTAATCAGCTAATCTCACGGCAGTATGCGAATGACGAACACATCTGAAAATGCATGGAAGAAGAGTGAGGACTTTCAGTCTTATTGTCTCATCCAGTACTGGTGAAATCGAACGGATTAACTGCTCAAAACCACCTCCACTCTAAGGAAAAAAGAGTAAGAAAACAAAAACAATGCTTAAGCCAAGGAGTCAAGCATCCGACTAAATTAAAACACTGATTTACCTTTCTGCAATAGTGGGCATTGTCACAGCTTCTAACTATCATATATATTCTAGCTGTCACATAAATTTTGGATGAACGTGTTTGTAGCATTATTTACAAAACTTGTCGTTCTTGCTTCATACAGAAAAATAACACCTTTTTCGACTGGATATTTAAGAGTATGTCAATCCATTTTTGCAATTGGAGAGGCACTTAGCAGCCAAATATGAGCACCATGCTTCACCTTCTAGAAAAACAGCCCTAGCAGTATCAGGTTAAGCAATAACACTTTAAACCCGAAACTCCTGGCAGATGGCCAGTGGCCCAAAGAAACGAAAGAATCGGTTACGTCGTTTTTCATATGATTTCCTCTTATAGATAGACTAAAAAATCGAACAAAGTTCTTTTTGTAACCGGTGCACCTTAACAATAGACTTGTTACACCTCTACTACTATGATCTATATGAGCAACTTGCACTCGATCCATTCCAAAAGTAAAACATGACTCAATTTTCGCAAAAGAAGAACTTCCTTGCTTATTCAAACATCCCTCAATTTAAGCCTCCAAAAAGAAAATTGATAAATTTAGAAGCTATGTGAAAGATAACACCAAACATATATTGGATATGATTAGATAAATTAACTTCGATGATTCTTTAAATAGCAAGCAGGATAAACCAAATGAGGAAGCCATGTACCATCAAGGATCAACACTCTATTCCTAATAGAATTCCATTTTCTTCTTCACTTTCAACATTTGTGCTTTAATGTAACAAACTTTTCAAGTAATGGGCAGCGAAAAAGAAACTCACTTGTGAATAAAAGAAGGTTCCTAAGATTACAATGGCAGCTCCAAGTGCATTGATGAGTCGAACATGTATTTGGAAGATTATGATAGAGGCAACACCGACAGATATTCGCTTCACTGCATTTCTATGCTAAATGTCAGGTACGAAATCTCATCCAATGACATATTAAACAATTGTTTATAAAGGTGATAGAATATGTCTTGCGCTGCTACTAAATAGCAAAGCCAAAGACAAAATTGTTATTGGGATACTCATAAAAATGATTCATCAAAGAACTTTTAACATAAACATACGAGTAACAAAATATGTCAGCAATGACATTACAAGAGCTATCACATAGTTTATTAAATGATTCAGAAGTATGCAAGAGAGAACTAGGACTAAGGCATCACCATTAATATAGACACAAACATAGCATCCATAATCACCTTATACCTAACCGGTGCCTATGGGAGCCTAGAGAAAACGGGATTAATCTAAAGCACCTTCAGTTTTTATCAACATTCTAAAATAGTCAAACAAAACAACCATGATTCAAGTAATATGGAGGACGATGTAAACTACCTCAAACTGATGCAACCAGGACAAATATTTAATAATTGATATCTAAATACTATTACAACTATGCATTAGCGAATACTGCGAGCATTGCATGATAAGAAATGGAAGTTGTCGATCCTAACCAAACAAAAGTGGGTCCTATGTGAGAGAGCGTGTTTTGCCATCCTACTGCCCACCTCTAGAGACCCTCCATTGCAACAGCAAAAGGTGTAAACATTAACAGAGATATAATGGACAACCCTGCATAATACTTTATCCCACTAATAGACTTCCTTTTTATTCCTTCGTTTGACAATATATTTCGGAACTTCAAATGCAGGATTTGATATCGCAGCTCCCATAAAACCTATAGTAACAATCAACATGATTTCAAAATCTAACAACAAATAAATCCAAAGTACCAACATGAATAATCAAATATCACTCAAATAATAGCTTGATTAAAGGTAATGTAATTATATAATTGCTCCCACCAACAATGTTGAAATTGAGCTAAGTAGCAGCTGAAAATGCACAACAACATGATTGGCACAAGTGACAAATAAATACTAAAAGCCGGTTAACTACTCTTGATGATATAAATGAAAAAATTGCAAGTTTAGACATACTAACAATTACATGACCAGTTGTATGAGCAACTGAATCCTATATCACCCAGAAAAAAATAAATAGATAAAACTAATACTACTAACTATTATTGGAAAATAATGAAAATTGAGCCACATGCTCTCTTTATGTCTAAAAGAAAGTGAAAACACTAACTAGATCACACTTACTTCTTCCCTTTGAAAGAGAAATAAAATAATTCGATTCAATTTCGCGGGAAGTTCATTCATCCAGAAAATCGTCGTAAAACTCAAAAAGTCAAGACATAAATGTTTAAAAGATACAGAAACAAATGCGCACCGAGATAGAGAAGTAAAAACTAAAAATTTACCACAATCAGTCGAGATTCAAAAGTCGTATGGAACTCTTAGAATATCAACATATATAACTCAAAATAAATAATCCAAGATTTGCTACATCTAGTTATCTATAACCAAGAAATAAAAAAATACCCTTTCCATCAAGAATTTTAATATCTTTTACCTCCTACAGATCACAAAACAAAACCCACAAGCATCTCACAACTTTCTTGGATTTTTCACATAACAGAAAGACATACAAATCTAAAAGAAAGAGAAAACTATTTTTGTAAGAGAGAGCAGAGCTTGGTTTACTTGAAACAGATCACAAAACAAAAACCCACAAGCATCTCACAACTTTCTTGTATTTTTCACATAACAGAAAGACATACAAATCTAAAAGAAAGAGAAAACTGTTTTTGTAAGAGAGAGCAGAGCTTGGTTTACTTGAAACTGAAAGGAGATTGGATGTGCGGAGATGACAGCTGGCGGTTTCCTCTCTACCTTCCTACAGAGACAAAGCGAAGTAGAAAAGTGACAGACTGGTAAGCTCCGCTCTCTGCTATCATCGACATTGAAAAGAACGATTATAACATCTACTTGTATTCCTTCGGTTTTCGCTCTGCAAATATGAAAATCAAGGACTAAAATTTTGTTTTTGTTGTCATTTTTCTTAGGTTGCCTCGAAAGAAATGAAATGTAATTGAAGGTTCCATATCTTAAATAAAAAAATATATTTCTTCTATCATGAATCCTAAATTGAACAAAAGACAATTTATAACAAAGAAAATTTTAAGAATCAACTAAGTTGAAATCAAAATAAAATTGAACTTCAATTAAGCACATTACACACTGAGAGAGAGAGAGAGAGAGAGAGAGAGAGAGAGAGAGAGAGAGAGAGAGAGAGAGCGCACCAATTAGAGAGGGAGGACAGCAAGGTGGTGGTAGCGGAGAGTATGTGCCATCCTCATTTTGCAATTTTGGGCTTAGGGTTCTTTGAATAGCGTGAAAGAAAAGAACTGAAATTTAGTGGAGAGTGTTGGCGCTCTTTTATTTTGGATGTCCGCCAAATTCCTAATACCCATTAACGATTCCTAATACCCATTAACGACCGGATATCTTAATATTAATGAGCCGGATATTATCCTTTTTGTTATCAAAATATTATATTATGGATGTCCATTTATTACTCCACTATAGATTTCTGTTGAAATTTATCTACAAACAGCTGATGCAGGCATGTTACAAGCAACTCAATGAAATGATTTGCAGTAGCTTCTTATTAAACAGGTAGGTTACAAGAAGCTCATGTAGACAGTTTACAAGCAGCTAAAGAAAATCCTTGCAGCTACTTCCTGAAAAGCCTCACAGCTGCTTCCTTTCTTCTATAAATAAAGGAATTTTAAGTTCAATATGTACATGAGTTTGAAGTTGAATAATATATCAGTTTTTCTCTATACTTATCTTTACTTTACGATCTTTATTTTATAACACGTTATCAGCACGGGTCTCTAATTTCATTATCGCTACCTTTATAATCCCAAAAGAGGGTCAAATCATTCAAGCCCAATTTCTTCATAATTACCGGATTACTTAATAGGAGCAAAGGCAGAAGGAGGAAAGGGTGAAAGAAAGGATGGGAATATTTGACTTAGAGAAGCAGTTCGCTTTTTATGGAGCATACCACAACAACCCAGTGAATATCTTGATTCACATGGTGTTTGTTTGGCCAATGTTTTTCACCGGTCTTATTTTTTTCGATTTTATGCCGCCACTTTTCAATTTGCCTCTGATTCAGCTATATGAACACAGCTCCTTAGTCCTTAATTTCGGGTTCTTGTTTGCCTTGATTTATGCACTGTTCTACGTGGCTTTGGACAAGAAAGCAGGCTCTTTGGCTGCTTTGCTCCGTTTATTTGTTGGGTTTCTAGCAGTATGGTTGCTCGTCAATTGGGCTTCTCTCTCGCCTGGAAGACTACCCTTGTGCGTGGTCAAACCGGTTCATTCAGAGTATTTTGAGAAAAATTATATTCTTGGAGTGATGAACAATATGTTGATTTTGTTAATTTTCAACTCTATGAAGAGATTAAATCCTTCTGATGTCATTTCTCAAAGATAAGGCTTATTAATTTATAATTTTATTTTGATTTCTTTCATGAGCTTAAAAAATTATGCTTATTATCTATGTCCATCACGTGCTAATTCTAAGCAACTAGTGATGCAAGACTTGCAGGTATATTGTGATTTGAAATATAAAGATTTGAAGGCTAAGAAGACAATGGATATTGAATCAACTTGCTATGTACGTGCGTATCAGCATATAACAATTTGCTTTTTATACACTTGTTTTCATCATGTTATTGTCTCCATAAAAGATTACAAAGTGGATAACATTGTTAGGTCCACTTAAACTCCAGTAGAGTATGCAAGAAATATATATATCCGCCAGCAGTAGCAATATTTCCTAATTCCTGTTATGGCTTAATTTTATGGTTTACTTGAACTCTAGCAGAGTATGACCGCTAGAAGTAGCAATGTTAACCACCAGAATTGGTATAGCCTATGACCACCAGAAGTGATAATTTATGCTTTATATGGTTACAATTAAAGACAAGCTATAGAAATATTCTCTATATTGCATGCACGCCTTGGTTTGCTCCTGAAGTAGTAAATATTTTAAAAGAGGCTGAAGCATCACAATTTGATGTGATTAATGCGTGTTCAGATAATTATGTTCGATTTTCTGAAGGATGAGAATTTCATTATAAATATTAATCCATTCCCTGAAGTGAATGTGATAATATTAATAAAGCCGAAAATATAAACGCGCTCTTGATGTAGATATATTACAATTCACCTCCAGAAGAGGTAATACGATTGAGAGAACATATCCTAAATCTTTCATACGTCAAATTTGCTCTGAAGTAGTAAACAATTGAAATTTTCTCTTGAAGCAGAAAAATATTAAAAAGAAGTGTAAATACCACAATTCACCTACTTAAGAGGTAGAATAATAATGAATATAAAATATTCAGATGTTAATATCGTTTCTCCCTGAAGGAGATATTTGTCACAAAGTTAGTGGTAGAAATACTGAAATTCTTAACTTTTGTTATTTATAAATTTAGTATTGTCTTTCTATTATTCATTTGATTATGATTTTTATTTTTATTTTTTCTCATGACACCAGAAGTGTCTGAGCGATATTTGGTAGTACAAAATTTATCAAAAGCTCCTGAAGAGCTAACTGTTCGTCTAGAAGACACATGACACAAGTAGTGCCTGAATAATATTTGATTGTGGACAATAAAATGAAGGCTCCTGAAGAGCTTATATGCAAATTTGTCATTCATATTATATGGTTGTGGTCAAAACATATGTTGTAATAAACCAAAAATTTACTAGTACAAATGGTTATCATATTGAGACTAAAAATGACTGGAAGATTGAAAATCTTCATGTTTCCACAATCATAGGGGATAAAATAATATGTATGTGAGAAGTTACCCGCCTTATTCTTCAATTTGTACTATATCATGTATCACAGTAAATTAAAAGTTTACTAATGCAATAGAAATCACAGTAAATCGGAAGTTTTATAGAGGCAAAAGTAGCTACAGTAAATCAGAAATTTGCTGATACAAAAGTAGTCACAGTAAATCAAAAGTTTACTAATGCAAAAGTTTATGCCATAGTAAACCAGAAGTTCACTAAGAGATAACACATGCCATGATGAACTTGAAGTTTTCATTTGCCATTTTTTAATGAGCTATTTGAGAATTCAGATAAGCATATACTGATGAACTAGAAGATTCTTCAAGAATTCTCTTGTGTTGCTTGTTCTCATAATAAATAGATTATACCAGCTATAATTGGGACTAAAACCCCAGAATTCTGGAATATATAAAAGGTGAATATGGGCTCATTTACCTATCATGTGAACCACTTATAGATGCATATATGAGATGGTTACATGTGTGTTTATTGTCAACCTGCAGTTTGGCATTTGAAATTGCCTTTCTCAATTAAGAACATAATTTTCATATTATGAAATCAAGATAGTTCATCTTTATGATGCTGGTTTATATCCAAGCTAGTTTAGCATTGAATACCTCCTATTAATGGCTAAACTATTGCTTATGAGAACAAAACCTCATGTGTTGGTCTAAGATTTTCTAAATTGCATACAGTAGCATTTGTATGCATCAGACCAATAAAATATGATAAGTCCTCCCCTCACAATTGGTTTAGGATCAGAAACTAAATATTTTTACTATCTAATAACTTTTAATATATGGAATATAATTAATTTCTCTACCACAATGCACAAAGATAGGTTTCCCGAAGAAAATTGGGGATATGAGTTAGTTTGTCTAACATTTGGGGGATGGAATAAACAGCTGGAAAATATGCTATATGAATCGAATTATCATTAATATGATCCTCACTTAGAACATAATTCAAGTCCAATGCCAGAAGTATTTGCTGATCCAAAATTAAATATCATATTTCAGCTGCAAATACTCCTATTAAAATTAAAGTCCCCGAAGGATAAAGTTTACTGCACGCATGAAGCATAGTAAACAGATCGGTTCCAAAGGTAACAATCCTTGAAAAGGATAGGAGCAAATGATCAAAATGAGGAGGAAATAGGTACCTGAAAATAAAGAAAGTGATGAGGTCTCAACAAGTTATGTCACTTGCGAACCGATACAAAATGATCGTCGACGATATATTTGATATAATATAGTGCACAATATTATAAAAGATTGTGAGGATCAGACCTGTAGTCCAGACACCTGAAGATGTCATGTCATTTAGATGCAAGTCATAACCTATATGACTCATTTGATCAAATTTATATAAAGATCCCTGAAGGATTTAAAATGCTTGAAGCATATAATTCAAAGTCTCGAGAAATGTACTAAATCAGATTAGAAAAATCTTTGTATGATTTAAAATAATTAGGGCGCATGTGATATAATCGCCTCACTGAATTGATGAATGAAGGTTATATAAATGATGGCATTTGTCCATACGTTTTTACAAAGAAAACAGCAACATAGTTTGTTATACTTGTTGTTTATGTTAATGACATAAATCTCATAGGAACTCCATAAGAGCTCCAAAAGGAAAAACTTTGTCTTAGTCTGCAAATTGAATATTTAGCAGACGAGATCTTTATCCATCAATCTGGTCTATACAGAAAAGGTCTTAAAACGCTCTTACATGGACAAAGCACACCCATTAAGTACACCAAATGGGTGTTCGATCACTTGAAGTAAATAAGGATCCGTTCTAACCTCCAGAAGAGGATGAAGAACTCCTTGGTCCTGAAATACTCTATCTCAGTGCAATTGGTGCACTTATGTATCTTGCTAATGCTAACAAAGGTGGTGCAGATCATATTGGTTATGCAGATGCAAGTTATTTATCTGATCCCCATATAACTCGATCTCAAATCGGGTATGTGTTTATATGTGGAGGTACTGTCATATCATGGTGCTTCACAAAGCAATCTATTGTTGTTACTTCTTCAAATCATGCTGAGATAATAGTTATTTATGAAGCAAGTAGGGAATGCATATGGTTGAGATCAATAATTCATTTTATTCGGGAAAATGAGGTTTGAAATGTGAGAAAAGACCCACAATTTTATACGAAGACAATATTGCATGCATAGCCCAATTGAAGGAAGGATTTATAAAAAGAGATAGAGCAAAGCACATTTCACCAAAATTATTCTACACGCATGATCTTCAGAAAAATGGTGACATCGATGTGCAACAAATCCGTTCAAGTGACAATCCAGCAGATTTGTTCACTAAATCTTTGCCAACTTCAACTTTTGAGAAGATGGAATACAAGATTGGAATGCGGAGACTCAAATATTTGAAACAAGATTTTCATCAGAGGGAGTAAAATATGCGTTGCACTCTTGTTTTTTCCTTACTAAGCTTTTTTCCATGGGGTTTTTCTTATAAGGTTTTTAGTAAGTCAGCTAGAAATGTGTATTACTAAATATGTGTACTCTTTTTCCTTTACTAGGATTTTTTCCACT